AAGAATTATGCACGTGGGTAGTACCTGGACCTTAAACCCACATTAACGTAGCGTGTATAACACAAACACCAAAAGTCAAAATTGTGCAAAATAATGGATTAACTTAACGACCGTTGCCGAATGTTGAACTGCAAAATCCTGCCATCAGCGGCTGGAACATCGGGGCTGGGCACCTGCAGCTGGACATCGACAGCTGGAGCATCAACATCTGCTAAAGGGAGGAAAATAGCGGCAACTGGCCACCAGGGAAGACCTTAGTGGTAAGTAGAGGGCCAGCTGCAAGACAATTTAGGCTAAAGACTGGAATATTACTGTCCTAGAAATAACGGGAACAATTCATGAAGCTGGGAAAGCGAGAATTACAAAACTGAAAAGAGTGTTAAATTGATGGGCGCAACGTCGGGTGGAACGCTTCAGCTGGAGGTACATGCCTGAAGCATCGGCTGCCGGGAAGGCTAAGATGGAACTGGGGCGTTAGCAGCTGTAACATCGTCTGCTGAAACTAGCTGAATCTGTGAGGGCGCCCGCTGCAACAGCTACGGCCGAGCCACCAGCTGGCCCATCCTCTGCAGGAACAACACCGGCTGGGACGACGTCGTTGGAAAAGCCTAACAATGTAATAAATTATATTATATGAATAATCGTAAATAAATGGTGTAAATAATAAAATTATAAACCAATTATAACTATAATTAATTATAACTAATTATAAATAGAGTATAAATATAATTATAAAGTAGAGATCAATTACAATTAATAACTACATCCATAGGTAGTAAATGAAAGTTGCATTAACTTAATTAGACTAATTACAATTCATGGGAATATTTCTTGGCTATCTGCAGGCTTATCACTTTGGGGGTTCCGGCGGAGCACCCCCAAAGATACAGCAAATGCTTAGCATGCAAGAGCAAGTGCCCCTTGAGCACGTCTGTGGGCCGTCCCTTTCAAAATTAAAACAGATGATGCAGAGGATCCCGGGAGGAGGGTGGGCGTTATGTAAGAGCAGCTGCTGGCTTGGAAGAGGGGCTACGCCGTCTCCGTCCAGGCTTATATAACCTCGGCTCAATGCGCGCGCAGCTTGGGGCGGTTACAGTCAGCTTCCAGACATACGTTCTCTTCCACTCAGAAAACCCACCGTTTTTTTGAAAAAACAGTGTTCTTTATCTTAAGATACTAACAAGGTTAGGTAAGGTCGGTGTTTTCTGTGAATCTTTTTAAGGGTATCTATTATGTTTAGTATATCACCTATGCACGTAGTTAATAAGTCAATATTGACTTTACGAATTTGCGAGAACGGGTTGCAGCCTCTACATCAAAGACACTCATCTGTACTGAGCTGCTAAACACCTCAAATGATATGATGGAAGTGCTGATAATCAAAATAGAGATTTTAAATGTAGTTATTGTCCTTGTATATAAGTCACCGGAGGAAAACCCTCAGCAGTTTAAAGACCAACTAATGAAAATAGAACACTGCTTGGAAAACCTCACAAATCCAGCTCCGAACATCATCCTGCTTGGGGACTTCAACCTACGGCACCTGAAATGGAAGCACCTTGCTAATACAGTAATATCAGAAAGAATACCAGGAAGTAGCCTAAATGAACAGGCACATGCAAATGACCTGCTACGGATGTGCGACAGGTTTGCCTTAAACCAGCAAATAGTAGAACCAACTAGGAAGGAGAACACGCTGGACCCCATTTTCACTAATAATGATGAATTGATCAGGAACATAATGATTACAAATACCTGTTACTCAGATCACAACTTAATAGAAGTTATGACAACCATGGGGAGTAGACCTTCAAAACCAGTCCAGATTCCCGGTGGAGGAGATTTCAGCAAATTCAACTTCAATAATAAACAGATAAACTGGGAGCAAATAAACCAGGACTTCACAGAAATAAACTGGGAAGAACAGCTAGAAAATGCAAACCTGAACCAGTGCCTGGAAAAAATAAGCTCAGTAGCACTAGAAATATGTTCAAACCGCATACCTCTAAGAAAAAAGAGGAAGAGATGCAGATTGGGACGGGAACGTCGTTCCCTATATAGGCGAAGAAAACGAATCGCGGAACAACTTGAGAGTCGCACCCTATCTCAAGAACGGCGAAGGTTAGGTAGAGAAATAGAAACAATTGAACGGAAGCTACAAGAATCATACAAAACCCAGGAGAGGCAAAGAGAGCAAAAGGCCATCAGTGAAATAGAAAGAAATCCGAAATATTTTTTCTCCTATGCAAAATCAAGATCAAAAACCACATCTAGTATCGGGCCCCTGCGAAAGGGAGATGGAACTTTCACCGATGACAATAAAGAAATGAGCGAGCTACTGAGGACGCAGTACGACTCTGTTTTCAGCGAGCCATTAAACACACTAAAGATTGATAACCCAAATGAATTTTTCATGGATACGATACCAACATCAAATCATATATCAGACGTCACCCTATCCCCACTGGATTTTGAAGAAGCCATAAACAGTATGCCTATGCACTCTGCACCAGGCCCGGATTCTTGGAACTCCATATTCATCCCTGCCTATGTCCACACACTTTACACTTTACTTCATCTAGATCCCTATACAAGCCGAACTGACAAGTATCTCTGGCAGTTCGGCTTGTATAGGGATCTAGATGAAGTAAAGTGTGTGGACATAGGCAGGGACACACACTCGAACACTATATCTTGGATTGTTGTAAAATTGAGCCTTTTAGAGATAAATCTAAGCTCACTCTGTATGATATGGCAACCTATCTTATTACCATGGATAAATTACCTGAAATCCTTGCACTGTACCCACATTTTGCTTCCAGTAGATGAACGACATATGAGATTCAGAAACAAGTAGTGTATTGTGAGGACTAATAATAAAAAGAAGCTCCCCTATGACTCTGTAATATCCCATTGGCCAAACTATTATGTATTAACGACAAGACCTACCATTAATGTATGATGACTTACTGTAAATATGTAGCTCTTGTAATAGCACTTTCTCTGTAACTAGCTGACATTGTATCTATAAGGTGTGAAGGATTGAAGAAATTGTTTATGTAATAATCTAAGATGAGGTCCGATAAAGACCTTTTGTGCCCTCTGTAATGCTTTTGCGCTACCGCTCACAGGATGAGTATGGGGTGCACAATAAACTAGCCGCCTTCGGCGGCAACAATCAAACAATCCATATTCATAAAGAACTGTAAAAAAACACTATCGCAGGCCCTCCACATTCTGTGGAGACAAAGCCTAGATACTGGCGTTATTCCTGATATACTAAAAACAGCAGAGATAGCACCACTTCATAAAGGAGGAAATAAAGCAGAGGCAAAAAATTACAGACCGATAGCACTAACATCGCACATCATAAAAATTTTTGAGAGAGTGCTAAGAAGTAAGATCACAAAATACATGGATTCACAGCAACTCCATAACCCCGGACAACATGGTTTCAGAACAGGGCGCTCTTGCCTGTCGCAGTTGCTGGACCACTATGATATGGCATTAGATGCTATGGAAGACAAACAAAATGCTGATGTAATTTTCACAGATTTCGCAAAAACTTTTGATAAATGTGACCATGGTGTTATTGCACATAAAATGCGTTCAAAAGGAATTACCGGAAAAATAGGCAGATGGATCTACAATTTCCTGACCAACAGAACTCAATGTGTAATAGTCAACAAAATAAAATCCAGCCCATCAACCGTGAAGAGCTCAGTCCCCCAGGGTACTGTGCTTGCTCCAGTACTTTTTCTCATCCTCGTATCGGACATAGACAAGAACACAACCTATAGCACTGTATCATCCTTTACAGATGACACTAGGATCTTCATGAGAGTAGGCAACATAGAGGACACGGCGAACCTCCAGTCAGATGTAGATCAGGTCTTTCTATGGGCTACAGAAAATAATATGGTGTTTAACAAAGATAAGTTCCAGCTCATGCGCTATGGAAAAAATGAAAATATAAAAACTGAAACCACGTACAAAACTCAGGCAAATCATAACATAGAACGAAAAGGCAATGTAAAGGATCTGGGTGTACTCATGTCGGAAGACCTTACTTTTAAAGAACACAATAAAGTAGCCGTCACAACTGCAAGAAAAATGACAGGTTGGATAACAAGAACTTTTCACACTAGATCGAGATGCTATACCGATGATGATACTTTTCAAAACGCTTGTGCTCTCTAGAGTGGAGTACTGCTGCACAATGACAGCACCTTTCAAAGCTGGAGAAATTGCTGACCTGGAGAGCGTGCAGAGATCCTTTACTGCTAGAATCCCCTCAGTCAAACATCTAAACTACTGGGACCGACTAAAGAGCCTAAAACTGTACTCCCTTGAGCGCAGGCGGGAGAGGTACATAATAATTTACACGTGGAAAATATTAGAGGGGCTGGTCCCAAACCTGCACACAGAAATAACATCACATGAGACCAGAAGACATGGCAGGATGTGCAGAATACCCCCGTTGCAAAGCGGAGGTGCAACAGGTACTCTGAGAGAGAACTATCAACATCAGAGGTCCGAGACTGTTCAACATGCTTCCACTACACATAAGGGGCATAACTGGCCGACCCCTCACAGTGTTCAAGAGAGAACTGGATAAGCACCTCCAAAGGATACCTGATCAACCAGGCTGTGACTCATACGTCAGGCTGCGAGCAGCCGCGTCCAACAGCCTGGTTGATCAGTCCGGCAACCAGGAGGCCTGGTCGACGACCGGGCCGCGGGGACGCTAAGCCCCGGAAGCACCTCAAGGTAAGGTACTAAATTTGAATGTCATCTGTCTGTATGTACTGTCGCTATCTAGAAACCTAACATTATGTTTGTAACTCATCTTGTATGTATGTACTTTTACCTGAATAAACATTTGATTTGATTCGATTTGACTAAACAAAAAATTGGGCTACTCTACTTGCAAATTCGCTACTTTTTGACCGTCAGCTCGCTACTTTTAGTAATTTGGAACTGGCAACCCTGAGACAAATAGCAAATACACCGGAGGAGAGTGATATTGGAGGAGTCATGGTGAGAAACACCTCCAGCTGGCGGCCACCAGTACTCTCAGAGACTCATAACCTCGCTGATAATGGCCAACCAGGCTCGGCTCTCCCCCCTCGTCACCATGACCACCAAGCATCTCAGTACAGGTGAGTTTCCTCAAGTTTAATATAGTTCTCAAGGAATTGTCAAATCTATTTAATTTTTTTTTTTATTTTTTCTCCGGAGGGCTAGTTTATTGGGTAACGTTACTCATCCTGTGATTGAACATACCGCCGTAGCAGCATGTACAACAACCCGCTGGGCTGTTTAATAGGAAACTAATAATAGGTCCAATAAGAACAACCCGTTGGGTTGTTTATCCAGTTCTTGTACCCAGACGCAGCTGGGACTTACGTGAACAAACTTTAACATAAAGCAAGGGATTCACATCTTGCAACCCTCTCAAGATTATGTTTATTTTAAGGGTGCAAAGTCGGGCGGAGGGGACCTTTTATGAACTTTATTTGACAAAATAGTTTTCCTAAATCAATGTGGAGTTTATTAAATTACACATTTATGATAATATCCGTAATGTCGAAGATGGGATCAATTCCCCGGTTGATCTGATAATGTTGCCTCCAGGCAACAAGAATCCAAGAGGCAATCAAACTGTCATGTAATTAAAATGGAATTGGTTCAAGAGTGATGTACTGGCCTGTTTTCTGTTTTGGGTCCTCTGGCTTAGGCTGTTAGGTTAGGAGAGGTCACATTCAATTAACGGTTTTCATGACATTTTGAAACCTTAGGAGAACTTGCTGCCCTTCTAACCTACCAGAGGACCCTTAACTTGCTGTTTGGAAAAAAAAAATCCAAAAGTTTTGCAAAAACAATTTTTTTTATATATATTATTCTTAAATTCTTTATGAAATGATGAAGATTTCCATTATATTATATATGATTAATTTTGTTTTAATATGAATTAAAACTAACATACAAATACAACCAAATCCAACAAAATCTACCTAGCCTAACCGATCATAACCTAACCTAAACTAACATAACTAAGTCAGTTTATTTATTTATGTATATACAAGAAGGTACATTGGGATTGTGAGGATACATAAAATGGTAATTACAATCTTGTAAAGCCACTAGTAAGTGCAGCATTTCGGGCAGGTCCTTAATCTAAGAAAATTTAAGTAGGCAAATACTTGCAAAATTTATAAAAATGATAACAGTTACAAGGCAAGAAAAAAAAAAAGAGAAAATTGTAGGTATACTAAAGCACATAGGTAGCTCAGATTGATTGCAATGACAGCTTGAATGGTAGTTGACAAAAATTAGTAGGCACAATACAGCATATGGCTAGCACATAAAAGAAGACAGCAATGAACACAATGATAAGGTTGTTTGGGTTAAGTACATAAAAATTAGGAGATTGGGTAATACTAGGTACAGAGCAAATTTAAAGCTCAGTGTAGGAAACTAAGAAGATGAAATTAGGTATTTTTTGGTTTTGCTTTTAAATAAGGCAAAAGTTTGACAGCTTTTCAGTTCACTAGGGAGTGAGTTCTATAGACTAGGTCCCTTAATTTGCATAGTGTGTTTACACAGATTAAGTTTGACCCTGGGGATATCAAAGATATATTTATTTCTGGTGTGGTGATAATGGGTCCTATTACATCTGTCCAGGGAGAGTTTCAGAGCATGGTTTGCATTTAAGAACAGGGTTTTGTAAATGTAGTTGACACAAGAGAATGTGTGGAGGGAGTTAAGTCTGCCCGAAACGCTATGCGTATTAGTGGCTTTGCAAGAATGTAAAAATATCAATCTTATGTAATCTCACAAACCCATTGTACCTTCTTGTAAATAAAAATTATTATTATAATTATTATATTATTATTAATACTGTATTTAGCAATTTTAGGGATCTGATCACAAGGGAGCTGAGTGTTGTCAGAAAGCAGAATTAGTTATTATTCTGATAGCAGATTTTTGCTGGGTGATGATGGGCTTAAGGCGGTTTGCAGTGGTAGACCCCCATGCACAGATACCATAATTAAGATAGGGGTAGATTAGTGTATAATATAGTGAGAGGAGAGCAGAGTTAGGAACATAATATCTTATTTTAGAGAGTATACCAACTATCTTAGAGACTTTCTTAGTTATGTGTTGAATGTGGGTGCTGAAGTTGAGTCTCTTGTCTAGGAATAGGCCAAGAAACTTGCCATCATTTTTATTACTGATGTTAATGTTGAAAATGTGTGAAACATGAAACGAAAAGTTCCAAAGTGTGTTTTTGCAAAATGAAATCAGACCAGACACAATAAGAATGCCAGAGAACAACATAAAGCACACAGAGGTGTCTAGAGACGAAGTGGAAAAAATGCTCAAGGAGCTAAGCAAGAACAAAGCAGTTGGTCCAGATGGAGTTTCACCATGGGTTCTGAGAGAATGCTGAGCTCAGGTGCACATTCTACTTCAACTGATTTTTCAGGCATCCCTGTGTACAGGAGTTGTAGCTGATGTGTGGAAAAAGGCTAACGTAGTTCCACTCTACAAAAGTGGCAGCAGTGAAGACCCCCCCCCCCTTCAATTATAGACCTGTATCATTGACAAGTGTAACAGTCAAAATATTGGAAAAAATTATTAAAACTAAATGGGTAGAACACCCGGAGAAAAATGATATATCAGACAGACAGTATGGTTCACCACTGAAACTACTGTTCGCAAAATCCTTAGACCAAGATTGGACGACATCCCATCACCCCCTCAGTTGGAAATACAGTATGCAAATGTTACCCCATTTTCAAAAAAGGCAGAACGAGCTCGGCAGAAAACTACTGGCTGATCAGCTTGACATTACACATCTGCAAGTTCATGGAGAGAATCCTCAGAGAGGGAATCATTCACCATTTTTCAGTGAAAACCTTGTACAATCAACACAACATGGATTTGTTAAAAACAGATCCTGCCTTACAAACTTACAAGCTCACATTTTTGGAAATGGCAACCAGCTACTCAGACAAAGGCAAACCAGGCATGACAGGGCAGATCTCATTGAAACTTTTAAAATACTGAACAATTTAGAGGATGTTGATCCGGATATTTTCTTCAGAAGGTCAGATGTAACACGAACAAGGAACAACGGTTTCAAGCTCAACAAGCCACAATGTAGAACTGAGAACAGGAGATGCTTTCCACGAACAGGGTTATTAACCCATGAAACTGCCTACCTGCCGAAGCTGTAACTGCCAAAACTGTGTTGAGTTTTAAAATACACCTAGAAAAGATCATCAAGGTTAATGGGGGGGGGGGGGACCTTCGACAAGCTGTCAGCTTCCTTTCCTTGTCGAGACCGCGAGGGTTAGTGGCTCTTGGGTAAATCAGGTATGTTTATGTATTTATGTATGTGTATATTCACTCACTTTTGCCTTGTATCGAGGTTGCCCCAAGGTCTTCCTACTGACCCTCCCAAGGATGTAATCCCTCAACAGTTGCCTAACTCCAGTGTACCTATTTGGTTGTAGGTGAACAGAGGCATTAGATAAAAGGACACCTGTATATCGAATTCAAGATCCCCAATTGCTAGTTGAGAACAAAGCCAACTGTACTATGAAACCCTATTGGGTACACTATACTTAATTTTTTTGTTACCAGGCAATGTCTTACTGCAACGAGTATATACTGTATTTCATATTTTTCCTTGAAGGAACAATGGAACTGAAATTGCTCTGTGCCATCATAGTATCTTAAATCAATTAAAAACCACATACAGTAGTTACAAATGAATTCACATGACAATAGGCTATTAAGTCTAGGCTGTTCATTGAAATCTTTGTCTGTAGTGTAGTGTAGTATAGTGTAGTGCCAAGAACATAAGAATTATGGAGTACTACAGTAGTACTCCATAATACTACAGTAGTACTACAGTAGTACTGTAGTACTACTGTAGTAGTACTACAGTACTATGGGCCTACTTATTGGCCCATCTTAAGTAAGTCTGTTTAAATCCACCCCCTGTCCTGAACCCATACTCAGTCATACATAAGTCAGTCTATCTTGAAAACTGCAAGCTGATGGCCTTAATTTGCTGCTGCTTACACTTTTCTTCTATAACATCTTGCATTATCACATGATTGATGCCCGAGCTGGTGTCTCTTCCAGAAGAGGATTGAGTAGGAACTGCTGTATACTGTATTCCATATGATATTAATAATTTAAATAATTATTTTATGTCTGCAATCATATATCGTGCACATCAAGAAGTACTGTATATAAAATTGATAAAAGAAAAATTTATTGGCAGGATCAGCATGTCCTCCACTGGGAGATGGAGTTATGCGATGCTATAACATGACATATTGCCCATATGCCCAGCGAACACGCCTTGTTCTCGCTGCCAAAAACGTTACGTAAGTTGTATTCTAGAAATCATAATTTAATGGTTACGTATTCAATCCTTGAAAATATCTAAAAAATAAATCAAGAGTATGACTTGTCATCAGGTAAAAAATTTATTTGAGAGTAAAATTAATATAAATATTTTAAGAAAAGTGCATTTTTGTTGATCTGGCACAGTGTAAAACTCTTATACAAATATTCAGAAATGCTCTATTCACAAGAACAAAAAAACAAATTCCCCTGGGTGTTGTGTACATGATTGCTAAAGGAAGCCCGAACTAGTCTGTCGATAAAACTAATGCATGCCACTAATACCTCGCTCCTTGAATAAATCCACAAGGGCCGTGGCGAGGCCCTTGCTGGACTCCTTGTTGCTGTACAGCAGGGTTTGCCTGGACCCATCAACCTCACTTGTATCCTGATTGTGCTAATGACAAGAGCATGTTCTAGGACCAGTCATGTTGTCACATCTTCACACTTTATCAAGAATTTGATGCACTTAAATTATAATGCTGGTAATATTTATAAAACCTATTTATCCTTTGATATATGTCCTCTAAGTGTCTCTCTCATTTACAGGCTACTTTTTGTGTTTGTGGGGTTGAGTTTGTGAGCTGGTAAGTTGCTAGCAGTAGTTATATGTGGTCTAGGTGAGGCCCCGAAACACCATTTAACATTTTTTTGGGATGAACGACTAAGTACAATCATCTGCTCTTGGTCGGTCCATCGGGTAAAACCATTAATTTCATTTGGTGCACCTATTGCAAATTAAAACCGCTCTCGCTTTCACTGGGTTCGGCCTCCAGATGCCATACGTCGGCTGCTATCGCTGGCTTCCTCTTCGTTTTTTTTTTTTTTTTTTTTTTTTTTGGTTCAATGCCTTGGTGCCTACCCAAGCCCTTGCTCGAGGTGTTTACGAACGTGTCGTCTCTTGGCTGGGGCTTTGTGACCAGTGCTCACCAGGCCGGCCAGGGGCGGTGGGGCCCGTCCTTCTGTTGGGCCCACAGCACAGTGCGGAGTTCACGGCTGTGTGGATGTCGCTTCGGAGGCTTCGGGTTGCTTGAGCTTCGACAATCCGGCCACATTCAGACTGCTTCCCGGTGGTTCATTGCCTGAACTGCGGGGATTCGATGCAGTCCTTGGCTCTTTGGGGCTGGCTGCTTTGGGTGACTCGTCTGCCGAGTTATGGAGTATGGCTTTCTTGGCCGTTCACGTTCGGGGGATGTCCAATATTCTGGTGGACGGCTTGTCACGGTTCATTCCTCTGTCCCCAGAATGGACGATTGACGCCGACTCGTTCAGTTGGCTCTGCCGGATGTACAGCTCCTAGAGGTTGACCTCTACACATCGGCGTGGTCAAGGTGTCACCACTACTATATGGCACCCTTCCACGACTGCGAGGCCATCGAAGTCTATGCCTTCAAGCAGGACTGGTCGAGGTGGGGTTACCGGTACCTCTTCCTACCTCTACCTCCGACACCCTAGTGTGGCCTTGGGGCATGTTCTTTGTAACCATATTTTTGGGGTTCAGCCATCCTATGGGTGTCCTTGTTTTGTGGACTGGCCTGCTTTGCGCACAGGTGTTTTAGGGGCCACTGTGTGTGATGGCGGCATGGTTTCTAACTCAGTATCTGGCACCCACGTGTTAATTGTTCTGTGTTACCTATTGGTTTGCTTTCTGGCTGTGCTCCCTCCTTCCTGGTTGATGCCCATTTTGTTTCTTTCTCCATGTATAGGTAGCTTCAGGTAGCCACAAGGGGGTTACCCCCTCCCCCCACCAGAAAACTAGCATTGAATGTAATGAAGTGCCACTTTCTGGGTGAGCCCTGGTGGTTTCCTGTCACCCTTCCTCCCTCCAGGGTGTTGGGGGTATTTCCATCATCGTAGAACTGAGGGTGGGCCAGCTGGCTGACCTCTGGTTGCCTCCCTCCTCCTCCCGCTGAATGAAGGGGAAGCGAAGCAAACAAGCAGATGCTAGTTTCATGAAATTTTGATAGTTTACATTGTTACATTGTTGGGGAGCTCTTTTGGCAATTTTGAGGCTGCAGTCTCATTTCTAACCAGGAGTGGTTTCTTTTGTCTTGCAGACTTTCTGGGTGCTTTTCTGTTGGTGGCAGAATACAAATGAAATTTGTAGAAAGTTTTATAACCCTACTGCTCCCTGTGCCTCTCTGAGGAGGCCAGATTCTGACTCGTGGTCCCCAGTAGACCGAAAAGAACTCTATGACTAATGGCATGTAGTAGTTTGGCACTATATCAGCAAGTAGCTTCAGGGAGACATTGGGGCTTACTCAGAAATTGGAGTTCCATTACCATCAATGCTGTGTTTTTGAACATCATGAACCTTCTTTCCCTTCATTACTTTCTAATAGTCCTCTGGGCTGTTACTTCTCCACCACATTAAAATATGAAATGAGGTGGAAATGTTCATTATTAAAATATTAAAATACCTGCCCGAAAAGCTATGCGTTTCAGTGGCTTTACAAAAATGTAAACACATCATGCTATGTACTCTCATAAACTCAATGTAACTTCTTGTATGTATATAATTAAATAAATAAATAACAAATCAATTTGGCTAATTTCAGACATGAGATTGTTAATGTTAACTTGATCACCAAACCAGAGTGGCTATTTGAGAAGAATCCCTTTGGTAAGGTACCAATTCTAGAGCAAAATGGGCGGTGCATATATGAGTCACTGATAACATGTGATTATTTAGATGAGGTCTATCCTGAGCCACCACTCTACCCAGCTGATCCTTTGAAAAAAGCAGAGGATCGAATGTTCATCGAGCGCATCTCACAGGTGTGTACATCAGTGTCAGTAGGATGCATGTATACATCATTTAATTAAAATTCAGATTTCATAAAACTTCTTAATTTTTTTATGTACTTAAACTCAAACTTGTAATGAATAGTCCTATCTCATTTTTTCATATGCACACTTAAATAATTAGCTGTATTGTATTTGTAGAACTTGTACAAGTAATAAATTATCTCCTGAACATGATTTTTTTATTGTGACAAAATTTTAATTAAAGAATAATTGGCACATAGGTCCCTATATTTTTTGTAATCACCCTCTCTTTCTACTTGTTTGTTGGCAATTTCTCCAGTGACTTTATGATAGTTGCTGTTTTAGTTTCATTAATTAGGTTAACATTTGAAGAATCACTTGGCAAATGCATTAACTAGATAACTGTGATGCTGGGGAGAGGACCTGGTCTGTCTGGCACTTCATCTGTGAAATACCTTTTTGGAACAGACTATGGGACCCATGATATTACATTTTACAAAATAGTGTGGGGCAACATAGGTTGCCCACAACCTGACCTAATGTTAGGTTGTGACGCATTACCTCTTTTCTCAATAGATGGCTCTGAATGTCTAATAAGCAACTGACAAAAATCTTAGTTTCTTTATAAAGCTAGTGAATAGCTTCTAAAAAATATAATTTTCTGTGGAGAGCCCCTTCGGCTTCCCGGTAGACCATGGCAACAGTCAATGTCAATCGTTGGAGTTCTTTGATTACCGGGAACCACAAGCCAGAACCTGGAGCCAGAACCTGAGTCCCTCAGAGAGACACGAGGAGTCATGGCCTATAGAAATCCATCTGTAGTTGGAAACAGTCTATGTCTGCCATCTACCAGGTCAGGCACCCAGAAAGATAGGAATCCCAAAACAAACTACAGCTGGTTAAACATTGCAAACCAAAAGCCGAACGAGCAGGCAGAACTCCCAGATCACAAAACAAGCAAACAAGCATGACGTCACCACAGCTGTCACACCACTGCCTGCACAACTTCCCTTCTCCCCAGTAGAGGGAAGGGGGGAGCCCCAAACTCTTCATACCAGCTATCAACCTCATTTCAGAAACTATATAAAAAGTTAAAAAAAATGCCGACCGGAGGGAGGGAGAAATGCCAGGGAACCTCCGGGTCTCGCCCAGAAAATGGTATTTCATTACATTCAATGCTGGTTTTCTGTAAAGAGCCCCTTCAGCTCTCCGGAGCTACCTAACCAAAGATAAAGAAAAAGAGGGACTTACCCGGGAGGCGGCCGCCACTCGCTCCTCAATGTGAAGTCGAGACAACTGGCTGCAGCCTGCGACCCAAGGCTACACATGCCCTAGAAGGGCATGGAACATTGACGAGGTACAGTGCAGCCAGGACCCTGTTTGACCTCCAAAAGCTCCATGTCCGAATGTCAGCCCAAGACATATTAACGAAAACAGCAGCCAAAGCCGCAAACTTACGAACGTCGTGGGGTACGGGGATAGACCGCAGGCTGGCTGGACCATATAATCATGCTGACGACCTAGGAGACCCACGCCCAGGAACCGGGAAGAAGAGAAACCGGGTCAACCCAGAGCCCGTCCCCTGTCACGGAGGCCGTGGCGGGCAAGTAATGGCAAAGGGCCGTACCCGGACACAATTCATAATGCAGCCCAAGTCGAACAAACCAGCCATCTACAACCCAAGGACCCCTCTGGAAAGCAGCAGTCTCATTCTTTGCCAGAAAAGGAGACAGCTGCAAACAAACCACGAGGACCGAAAGAGCAGAAACCCCTTCGAGGGAAGAGATCATGAAGCTCCCTGACCCAACTTCCCCGCGGGGGCCAATGCCAACAAGAAAAAAGCCTCAGAAAAACAGTCCTGAACCGAAGAGGCCATCACAAACTGAGGAGAAGAGCGAGAAAAGAGAGCACCCAGTCCAACGACCAGGATAGCTCAGGTAGCACAGGAGCAGGCCAGAGGTGAAACAATGCCAGAGAAAGCGTGCAGAACGAAGCAGAAGTGACACCCACCCTGAATGCAAGCTGAAGTGGCTCCACCAGTGCCGCACACTATGAGGCGACAGTATTCGGCAATGACAGTCCTGAAACAACCAAGAGAGAAAGGACAAGACAACCTGATCAGAAATTGAAGACAACCTACGATGAGACAAGAAATGCCAAAAGGACTAGAAGGAAACTTCATACTGCCGCCGAGACAAAACTCGCAGGTGGGACACCATTAATGAAGCCACCTGATCACCATACAAGTGGTGATAAACTCGCATCAAAAAGACCAGACACGAAGATCGGAGGAGAAGATCGAACCAGCCACGTACCGGATTGGACCGATCTGCTGAAAGCTTTATAATATTCAGTACAATAATTTCTGAGTAATAATATGTAAAATATAAAAGCATACATCCACATAAACTCCACATCTTGTTCCTACTATATATCATTCTATCACTTTTAAAGAAAATGTTTTATTGTTTTATTTTGCAACAAGGGGTGACATTTAAATAAAATCTTCAGTGCAACAGTTAACAAAATGGTCAGAGATGGTCACAGCTGAGATTTTATTAGGTGTACCTTATGGCATAGACTTGAATATATACACGAGAGAGCACTTTAGTTTGTTAGAATATCCACAACTCTGTATTTAGATATGCCTAGCATGTGGGATGCCTTCATGATACAGTCAAAGTGTGTAATTTCTTTTAGTCAGTCTGGTTACAAACATTTAAAGCCTACATGTTTACTAATGATATTTCTAATATTTATTCTCCCAGATAACTACACCTTTATACAAGTTATACTATTCAAAGGAGGACGAGCAGACTCAAAAATCCTGCGATGATATCAAATCTGGACTTGATGTGTTTGAGAATGAGCTTGTAAAAAGAGGCTCTGAATTCTTTTGTGGTGGTAGGCCTGGTAAGATGGTGTTGCTGCTGGTTCATGTACAGTATATCATGTCATGATTTAATAGTACACTGCTTTCTTTTTCTATGATAAAAAGAGAGTAAACTTACAAATGCTCAATATTTATTTTTTTTCTAAATGGGGCATACTACAAAATTATAGAAAAATAAGATGAATATTGGATTTAATTGATTTAATATACTACATCCAGCCAAGACTGATGGATGCCTACTACTATTATTATACGTGTGCAAAAACAGTATTAAAAATTTAATACACAGTGCTGCACATCCCACAGGTATGCTAGATTACATGATATGGCCATGGATGGAGAGGCTTCCTATGGTTCAAATGTTTGCTGGAAATGCTGGAATCATCATCCAGGATCGTTTTCCAAAACTGGTGAGACTTCTTTTTAACCCTTAAATGGCGCATGGCTAGATACCATTTGACACCCACAGGCGCATAAAAAAAAAAATAATAATAATAATATTCTTCCTAACCTATTAGTTTGTATTCACTGATCATGGGAAAAATAATAAAAAAAATCATAAGTGGCATATATTGCCCGCTATAGGGTGGGGAAGTCTGGCAAAAAACAGGCGCTGACTCAGCGTGCGTCCCAGGCAATCTGTTGCTCGCCAGCTGTCAGACCGGAGTTGCCACAAAGAGATAATTACCTAATTATTTCAATGTCTCTAATTGATTTTTCGTAGTTTCTTTGCTGTAATATTATTCAATAGTGTGTTATATAAAATGAGTGAATCATCGCTGTTCTCAAAAATATGGTGTGCATATTGTTGATTCAATTGTGTTCATCAAACAGTGAACAAATACTTTGTCGGTTATTACACTATATACACAGGTTATATACCCATACATATACATACACACACACACACACATATACATATACATAAAGTATATATGGAAGCTGATCAGAATTACATTTCACCTTTGTGAATGTACATTAATGACACTATGTAAAAGACACATCTAACACTTTATGTAGGGCATACGTAAATCTGTGTATCTATGTATTTACGTATGTAGGTTAGCTTAGCATTTTAAAAGCACCGAATCACCTTCTGTGGTTGAGTGTTCAATAAACCCTTGAACTGTATGTTTAACACTTCTCTAACCCAGTCCATGGAGGACAGAAGAAAATGTATATATGCTGGTTAGCATTGTAAATGTGTGGCCACGTCTGTGGTAGAAAATAATAATAAAAAATAAATAAATAAAAAAAAAACAAAAAAAAAAACAGGTTATATATAAGTATCTGCATGTTTTGTTCACCATAACGAACCACTAAGTTGCTATTATGAGTCAAAAAGTAACGAGGAGTGACCGCCACATTCCAGCCAGCCACTCACTCCCTCCCTCAACACCTCACTCACCCACATTCTCCTCCCACTATACTGTTTTTGCTTTTATTCACTATATACAGACGTTATATATAAGTATCTACATTTGTGTTCACCATAGCGAACCACTAAGCTGGTATGGTGAGTGCAGTCAATAAAAGGTGGCCACACACACTCAAGACAATGCCACTACCTTCCCCTCCCACAGCATTACTCCTCCCAACATGGAGCACAGCACTAAATATCACCACAATCCTGCTATTATCAGAATCCTGGTCAGTTTTATCACAGTCAGGGGGCTTCAGTAATACTATCACTGCTAAATAATAGCAGTATCATATATATTATGGCATTTGTAGGCGATGCTGTGGTCACAAGCTGAACAGCGGTGCTATGAGCTCTTGCTGCATGTGCCAGCCTTGGTGGCTTGCTCAATACCGACGCTCTAACACCCAAGAATATTGGCCTGGATTTTTTTTCTAGGTGGCATCTGGCAACTATTGGTTGTGGCTGTACTATAGCTGCCCCTATCCCAGGGGGGGGCGTTTAAATTATAGCGTTAGACACGAAATCATATATATATGATTTGCGCGGTTTAAGGGTTAAGGGGCAATTCTTGTCTTTCTCATATTTTCCTATCATCCTAAAATCACTGACATGTTTCTTTAAATTGAGGCCTTCTTCTAAACTTACTATTTTCTCAATGATTTTCATCTCTTCTGCTACTCTGTCCACCTTAGAAGATATTTCCTTTTCTAAACACGCCAAAATTATTATGGGTGGCCACCCAAAAATGTGGTGTTGGTTGCTATGCTCCACGTGCAAGGTCTTGCATTTGTCGATATTAAAAAGCATTTGCCAGTCTTCTGACTATTTGTGGAGTTGCTGTAGATCTTTTTGTAAAGCGTCAATATCATTTTCATTTCCCACTTTACCATAAATCTTTGTGTCATCTGCAAATTTGATGATATGGTTTGTAATATTCTCATCTATGTCATTAATGTATATGACAAAAAGGGTTGGCCACAAAGTGGACCCCTGAGGTACCCCACTTGCCACATTTCTCCATTCAAATTCGTTCCCATTTAGCAGGACCCTTGGTTTTTTTTTTTTTTTTTCAACCATTGTTTTATTCATTCTAGTATTTTACCATTTATTCCATGGACCTGTAATTTCCTTGATAGTCTTTCATTTGGTACCTTAACAAAGTTCCTTGGCAAAATCCATGTACATTGGTACCTTCATTAACAATTGTAATCTATTCCCAGAGATGCATCTCAACCAAAAATTCGTCAACCAAAACAAATTTTTCCCCTAGAAATAATGTAAATTGAATTAATCCGTTCCACTCCTCCAAAAGTATTAGCTTAAAAATAAATTTTATACCGATTAACATTCATTTTATACTAGATATAATACAGTATTGTAGCTATCTTACCTTGAATGAGGACTCTTGTTGGCGTATGGAAGACGGTGAGGAAAGGGGGAGGAGGAGAGGGCCAAACACTAACACCTTGCAAAGGTGTTAGTGTTTGGAAGGGAAGTCCCTTTCCTTTATAACATCAGGCAGTGATGACTTTCCTGGGATACACTCCTACATTTTGCGTGCATACCACTAGGACCTGTTTGTGGCTCACTACAGTACTTGGTTTTTCTCTCTAAACACCTGTCTAGCGACACTTGTTTTTCAACAACCCTCGTATCATTTTCATGTTTACAAATGATCTCTTGTTTTTTCTCTATGGTCATCCTCACAATTATTTTCTCAGGTTGAACTTTACCACTGACTTTCTTGGGGCCCATGGTGTAATATATAATAAGAACATTTATGTAAAAAAAAGCAAAGAAAGCAGGCAAATAATGAAATTCTTCACAAAAAATTCAAGCGTCGCAGCAGTAATCACTATGCAGGATAAACTTGTAAACAAACTGAGAGTGCCTCACCCCGCACCCCCAGCACCATGCACTCGTTCAACCCACATGCATACAGACAGACTTCGTCTTCCAAGTCAACCGTTGTACACCAATTCAAGTTTTACGATGAATTTGACGTCATATAGCAAAAAATTTTACTCTAGGGCAGTCGTTAACCGAGATTCCACTACACTACATCCTCTGGAAGGCCTTTGTCTTAATACACTAGCTGGTAACCTTTTAAAAAAATGTGAGCAGGTTTGTAAGGCAGGATCTATTTTGAACAAAGCCATGTTGTATCAATTGTAGATGATTGTTCACTGAAAGATGGTGAATGATTCTTTCCCTGAGAATTCTCTCCATGAGCTTGCATATGTGTGATGTCAAGCTGATCAGCCAGTAATTTTTTGCTGAGCTCTTTCAGCCTTCTTTGAAAACAGGGTGACATTTGCATACAGTATTTCCATTCAAGGGGAACTATCCCTTGGTCCAGAGATTTTGTGAAAAGTAATTTAATTGGTAGGCATAGTCCTTCTGCCAGCTCCTTTATAACTCTGGGTTGAATTCCATCTACACCAGGGGTTTTTGTGTCTTTTAATATGTCAATGTTCTTCCTTTTTATGTTGCATGTTATGGGTATACTGTATAGTATACCTAAATTCATTCTCCTCACCTGTATACATTTTTGTGGGTGATGGGATGTCATCTAACCTTTTTAATGTGAACACTGATGTAAAATATTCATTTAGTGTGTTTGCTGCCCTTTTTGTCATCTAATATAATTTGGTTAGTCTCATCTATTAAGGGTCCTACAGTCTTTTTTTTTTCTATTTCTTATATAGGCATAGAATGATTTTGGATCTTTCTTTGTGTTTCTGGCAAGTTACCTTTTCTAGTTATTTTGGGCTAATCTCAATTTTCTGGATGACCAAGTTTAATGCTCTTTTGTATACCTCATAATCTTTAATGTTCATCGGGGATTTATACGTTCTCCATCGGTTCCTCTTGGTTATCAATGCTCGTTTTATGACCTGTCTCATCCATCTTGTTCCCTTTCTGTTCTTTCTCCTTTTTTGGCACATTTTTGAACAAGTTCCATGATGACCCTTTTGAAATTTTGCCATGATTCTTCCATGCCATGCTCTCCTATCAGCTCTCTCCAAGAGATGTTTTGCAGTTCCTCACTCGTTCCGTAATAGTCTTCCTCAATGGTAATCTAGAAATTCATTATCATTTACCTTTATGCTGGTTTCTATACTCATAGTCCATCTTAAAATATGGTGAGCACATGAAGGGGTTAACTTTTCCCCCCACCTGAATTTCATCAAACGTGCTCTCTTCTGATGTTAGCACAAGATCTAAAATGCTGCTACAACGTGTGGGCTCTACTGCATGCTGTATGAGAAAGGAGTCCTGTACCAGGTCTAGGAATTGTTTTCCTTCTGCTTGTGATGTTAGATTTGTCATCCTTAAAGGATAATTTTTATTTGCCAGGGGTAACAGATGCTTAGTAGCTTTATCTCATGCCTGACTTTACCTTGTGCCCATAGCAGTACAGCACTGGTTTGAAAGCACTGTAGATTCATGTTAACAAAAAAAAAAAATTATGTATAGGATGAGGCTCAAGATACATCTAGAGCCTATGAAAAAACTCTTAAGCTAAGGCAAGTCATAACCCATTGAATGCATTTATAAGTTCAAATGGATAGAAAAGTAAATATATAGAAAGACATAGATAGCATGATTAACTTCATACTGTATTGGCAGATGTCTTGGATGGATGATATGATGGAAGATGCTCCAGTGAAAGCAACATATTTGCAGCCTGAGGCTCATGCAAAATTTGTCATTACATTTGATCCAGACCATTCAAGATACAAGAGTGCTTTGTAATATTAAGGGACCTAGTCTATGGAACTCACTCCCTAGTGAATTGAAAAGCTGTCAAACTTTTGCCTCATTTAAAAACAAAAATAAAAAGTACCTAATTTCATCTTCGTAGTTTCCTACACTGAGCTTTAAATTTGCTCTGTATCTAGTGTTACCCAATCTCCCAATCTTTATGTACTTAATCCAAACAACTTTATCATCGTGTTCATTGCTGTCTTCTTTTATGTGCTAGCCATATGCTGTATTGTGCCTGCTAAGTTTTGTTAAACTACCATTCAAGCTGTCATTGCAATCATTCTGAGCTACCTATGTGCTTTAATATACCAACAATTTTTCTCTCATCTTTTATTTTTTTTCATGCTATGTAACTGTTATCATTTTTATAAATTTTGCAAGTATTTACCTACTTATAAGTTTCTTAGATTAAGGACCTGCCCGAAACGCTGCGCGTACCAGTGGCTTTACAAGAATGTAATTACTATGCTATGTATCCTCACAATCCCAATGTACCTTCTTGTATGTATATACTAGTATATAAATAAATAAATAAATAAATGTATAGTAATTATTTAGAACTCAATTTGACCTCTGGTTTCCAACTAACCCAACCCAGGGAACCCAGGGTCGTAACAAGTAGTCACAATACAAATGGATAAACAATAGTAGGTACAAGGTTTTGCAAAGTTTACAAGTAAATAAATAGCTATGCATTTAATTTTGTTTTATGTAAATTACAGTGAGGATAAAAGGGACAGAAATAATATAGTACGTTGGGGAAAGTTTTTGAGATTGTAATATCAATGGGAGGTTGACTTAAATGAGAAATAAACTCCAGTAATGTACTGGAGTATAAAAATAATTCTAACCCTGTATATTACCCTCAGCTGTCTTGGATGGATACCATGAAGAAAGATGCAGCTGTAAAGGTCTCATTCATATCACCAGAGACTCACTTCAAGTTTATCAAGACACATTTGAATGGAAGTCCAGATTATGACATGGAGCAATAAAGAATTTAATCATTGTCATCATACATTAAAATGTTTGTATGGGTGTGAGTGACCTGAATTTACCTGAGGGCCACCATCTCTCTCTAGTCACCTTGATGGTGGATAGGAAGCCAGCAGTTTGTCAAACGTCCCCGCACATGTCCTGATGATTTTTTCGAGTTGGATTTTTATTTTTAACAGTGTTTTTGCATTATGCTTTCAGCGGGTAGGCAATTCCATGGGTTAACCCTATGAGTGAAAAAGCATCTCCTGTTTTCTGTCTTATATTGTAGGTTGGTGGGATAGAATCCATTGCTCCTTATTTGTGATACTTTTGGCCTTTTTAAAGAAGTGGTCTGGGACAATATTCTCCAAATTGTTCTGTAATTTTAAATTTCACTGAGATCAGTCCTGTTATGTCTGGTTTGCAGGGTTGTTAGCCCTGTAGCCCTCAATTGTTCCTGGTATGGGTCAACTTAGTTCTGGGATGATTTTTGTTACTTGGTGTTGAACTTTCTCGAAAGCCGATGTTGTTCTGAAAATGAGGTCTGCATACCTGGATACAATAATCCAAGTGGAGGCACACCAGAAGTTTATTCAATTGAATAACTACATACTTTTCCTTGAGGTCAAAGGTAAGTAGGTAGGTGTGGGTTTACTATTTGTATTTACCATTTTGTGCCTGAATGATCAAGCTGTTAGCTCTGACTCCGCCTTTTTTTAACCGTTGGTTGTGTAATGTACTGATTCCCGACCTAAATTTTTTTTATATTATATCTACTGTATAATATCTACTATGTAAGGCCAAAACTGTCGGTAGTTTCAAAGTGTTATATGACAGAATGCTGGGAAGACGGGACACAGTGAGCGTAGCTCTCATACTGTAACTACACTTAGGTAATTACACACACACAGATCTGGGGGTTGATATTACACCAGACCTGTTCCCTGAAGCCCATATCAAAAGGATAACATCAGTGGCATATGCAAGGCTGGCAAACATAAGAACTGCCTTCAGAAACTTGTGTAAGGAATCATTCAGAAATTTGTATACCTCATATGTCTGACCAACACTGGAATATGCAGCTCCAGCATGGAGCCCACATCTGATTTACCTGAGGGCTATTAACCCTAGTGGCCTTAACAAGGACAGGAAGCCAGCAGCTTGGCAAAGGTCCCCCCCCCCATTTGCCTTGATCTTTTCCAGGTATATTTTAAAACTTGACACAGTTTTGGCAGTTAAGGCTTTGGCGGGTAGGCATTTCCATGGGGGTAATAACCCTATGGGTGAAAAAGCATCTCCTCTTCTCGGCTCTACATTGTGGGTTGTTGAGCTTGAAACCATTGCTCCTTGTTTGTGTTACATCTGGCCTTCTGAAGAAAATATCTGGATCAACATCCTCTAACTTGTTCAGTACATACATTAAAAGCTTCAATGAGATCTGCCCTGTCATGCCTGTTTTGCAGTGTTGTTAGTCCTTTGGCTTTCAAGCGTTTCTGATACGAGAGATGACTTGTCTCTGGAATGACTTTTGTTGCCCCGTGTTACACCTTCTCCAAAGCAGCTATGTCCTTCTGAAAAGGAGGTCTCCATGTTTGGATACAATAATCCAAATGGGGACGCACCAGATTTATACAGTGGAACCATTACTTTAGCGTCAAAAGTACGCTTGATTATCTCAAGAATTTGGTTATCTTTTATGACTGCTGCACCCACCTGTTTTGCAACTTTTAATGAGTGGTGCATTTTGACTCCAAAGTCCTTTTCTTCATCGAACTGCTGTAATGTAATGCTATTAATTTGGTAGTCGTGGCATAGGTTGTTATGCCCCACATGCATGATCTTGCATTTGTCGATATTAAAAAGCATTTGCCAGTTTTCTTCCTTGCCCGTTGGCCTTTTGATACTGGTAACAAACTACGTGCTCTCGAGAGTAGTGTGTCCCCATGGCCTTCCTCCTACCATCGTAACTGGCGGTGGGAAACGGCTCCAGCGAGGTTACATATTGATCATACACGTAAACTCATAAACTCATAAACTCACAGGCACTTAATGGAATGCCGCCCTGCTCCTTATTGTCCAAACTGCATTATCCCTCTTATGGTGTGCATATCCTTGTTGAATGTCCTGATTTCCAGGACGTGTGTGTGTCTTGCTTCCCAACCGTCCCTCGCGGTCACTTGTCCCTCGATAGAATTCTTGGTGAAATGGATACCTTTGATATTGTTCGCCTTATGCATTTCTGTTCTCATATTGGCATCCTTAGTGATATTTAGAACCCTATGATTATTCCACACATTTGATGGTGCTACATAGCCTTCCTGGCTTAGGGCCTTCTTTTGATAATTACTTACTAGCCAGTTTTCTGACCATTTGTGAGTTCATGTAATAATAATATTTTATTTACGAGAAGGGTTGGTGAGATTACATTAGAGTGATATTTTTACATTATGCGTGTTGGTGGCTTTGCAAGAGTGTTTCGGGCAAGTCCTTAATCTAACATACCAGGTAAGGTGAAAAAGTACATTGTAGCAAGGTTTTATATCAACAATATAAATTGACAGAGGTGATAGTGTAGATCTCACATGGTGTAGATTTCTTTGCAAGGCTTCAGTATTATTATCATTTATAAGAAGCAGGGCAGAGCTCCATTAAGTGCCCGCGAGTTAAACGTATATGGCCAATACGTAATCTCATCAGAGCGGTTTCCTACCGCCCATTATAGTGGTAGAAAGAAGGCCATGGGAGGACACTACTCTTAAGAGCACACAGTTTGTTACCAGTAACAGAAGACCAGTGGGCAAGGATTGAGGAATGAATAACTGGGTAGAAGTCTGAATACAGGACACCTTTACGAGAGATTGGCCAAGTGTGGATAGTCTCTTTAGCAGCAGCGTCTGCACGCTCATGTAAGGACACCAATATGGCTGGGAACCCAGAACTCCATTGTCTTAAATCTGCTGGAGATAAGAAACAGCCAATATAGGAGGGGTAAAAGATTTTCAAAACTTAGGAAGAGGGACCCTCCGCTGGGACAAGGACGGAACGACACGAGTGTAACACCGTAAAGGTGTTTGGTTTTGTTTTAATTAATATATACATACAGATACACGAGTCAGAGACAAAGATTTGAGAGGCGCTAGTCTGTCGACCTGAATCTCGCACCTCTAAGCGTTAATGACCTGAGGTCAGCTCATGCGAATTTCACCTTGCTTCTGTTAATCTGATAATTGTAGCCCGATAGCCTTCAAACAAGCCGCCAGTTTTAGGTGTGGCTTGGTAGAGAGCCTGGAGCTATCTACTTGTGGGCGGAGTTAGCTACTAGGTTTCCCAATATATACTGAGGGAGCATAGGAGGATAAGGGATAGGAGAACAGCCAGTAGAGCACAGCAGAGGCCAGCCGCCGAGATAGGCTGTCAGCCAGCGGGGCGGGACAGTCTCTGTCAACTACAGACCCCCCCCCCCCCTCCCTCTCAATCCAGCTATAGGTAGACACTTGGCGAGTTGAGCATGAAAGGTGACTTAGTCGTGTTTACAAGTGTTGTGTGATGATCAGGGGCAGACAGTTGTAGGGTTCTCGAATTCTTGGATGATGACTCACTTTGTATATTAATCTTGAACATTAAGTTGAATTGCTTAAATTATGATACTTATCATGTGAAATATAATTGATGAATTTATTGTTTAAATTGTCTTTAACTGTGTTCCCTAGAGTTTTTGAGTTAAGATGAGAAAGCCTCTGCGGTTACTGGTTTCATGATTTTAAGGAGTACATGATACAGATGGAACATACTAATAATGACCTCTTGATAACATCTTTGAGAATATTGTGATACAGGCAAGTTACATTCCTTGTCTTGTAGATACGGACAAATGAATGGATGGTGGCAGCATTTCTTCTACTATCTACTCTTCTACTTCTACCTATCTACTACTCTCCCTCCACCCCTCTCCAAACTCTCACTTTCAACTGACGACCCTCCTCGCTTCTCCCACTTCTCTACCTCTCTCAACTCAAACCCTCACTAATTACTTCATTATTCATCTCTTCCCATGCGTGTCTCATACGTTTGTGGCAATGAAATGTGTTTTAGAGTTCTCTAGAGTTTCGGGTAGCTGATCAAGTTACGTCGCCTTGTAGTCATTGCACCTAGGTTACAAGGTGTTGAACGAGAGAGGCTGCCGTAGGAACACTAGGGGGTGCTCTAGAATAGTTAGCTAACTGAGGGCGGGATAACGGACTAAAGAGAGCTGTTTCTCCCCGGCCTCGTTAGTTAACTGGGGGGGGGTGGAATAATGGACTACAGAGAGCTATTTCCTCCACCCCCCGTTACACGAGAAGAAATATTGGTAAGACAGACCGAAAGAGAATCTTGTAGGTTCAAGTATAGTTGAGAATCAACTATACAGAAAGAGGTGAAGGGGGAACAGGGACCACAGGAGCGGTAAAGGTCAAAGTACGACATAAGCGAGAGTGAGAGTGTTTTCAGGACCGTGAAAGGTAGTGAAGACAGTGCATGGCGATCCTGCAGGACACCTTGTTTCAACATATACAGGCTTAGGGTAGGAGTTGAACGAAAGGCACCACAGCTGAGGCACAACCCGGTATAGTGCAGAGCATCCAGACGGCGAAGAGAAGAAGCAGGGCAACCATAATCGATTTTAGACAGTGCGAGAGGGGAGTGTGTGCCTATCTGCTTCGCAAGAAGTATGAGACAACACCCTTAAGTAAGGAGAGGGCCTTGGAGCATTCAACTCCGAGGTAAGAGAGATGGGGCGACCAAAGACAAACGAGTGTCAAAGATTAACCTTAAAAGCTTAGCAGAATCTTTGTTCACAAGGGGATGACCATAAAGCGACAATGTGGGACGAAGAACGACTTGCTTCCGAGTAAGTCATAGCACACGTTTTAGTTGTAGAGAACTTGAAGCCATGATTGATGGTCCAAGACGACACGGCATCAATCGCAAGTTGAAGTTGTTAAGGAAAGGCAAGTCATCGCCTCGACCGCAGAGGGTAAAATCGTCGACATAGAGCACTGAGAAGATGCCAGAGGGAAGGGAGGAAAGAAGGACATTGAGGGCAACCAGGGGAAAAAAAATAGATTGGTGCTTAGAACACTATCGTATTGCCGCCTCTCCGTGGTGTGGGGCTCTCATATACACCTCTCTGGGACCGGTGAGAGTTGCCTTCGCCTACCTCTCCTGACCCTCGTTAGGTGTTGTACATGCAGTAGGGAACCATATAGGGTCCTTGGAGGGGCTGCCCTAAGTGGATGACTGGGTGTCCATGCTGGGGCAAAAGGGAGAATGAGGTCTTTGCACCAGTGTGGGAGAATGGGCAAAGCAGTAGGACTTCCCTGTTAAAAAAGGGGGAGCACCGCTGCGTACGTTGTACCCCCTGCCTGCACTGGCCCGCGCTCGGCTGCCCTGGTAGGTGGTATCCCTTGGTTCCAGGCCCCAGAATTTAAAAAAAAAAAAAAATAAATAAAAAAATAAATAACATGTTTATTTAGGTAAGGTACATACAATAAATTTTTACAAAGATTGGTTGACTTATAGGTAGAGCTAGTAATAATAATAATAATAATATTTTATTTAGGTAAGGTACATACATACAATAAATTTTTACAAAAGATTGGTTGACTTATAGGTAGAGCTAGTACATACAATGCCTAAAGCCACTATTACGCAAAGCGTTTCGG